ACCCAGACTCGGCCAGGAAGTGTGTTACCTTCTTGCAGTGCTCTTGATGTATCCAGGTGTATCTCTCAGCAATCTTCACTGCTGTGGGCGTCGTCAGCAGCACCTGATAGGGACCATCCCACCGTGGACTGGACCAGCACTTCCTTTTTATGGCCTTTATCAGCACCCAGACTCTCCAGACTTCAGACTCTGCTCCTGTGGAGAAACAGAATCATCTGGCAGATCATTTGTTTTCATGACTTCTTTACTTTTTAACATTTTAAGCATCAAATCTGCTAATTTGTTCTCCTCTTGTGCTTTTCTATCATCACTACAGAATCCTGGAACTCTAAATGGTCTACCATATATAATCTTAAAGGGTGTCAGACCGTTCTCTGTTGGAGTAATACTCATGTACATCTTAACTAATTCTATACAGTCTAACCATGTCCTGCCTGTCTCTTCCATTGTTTTCCCAAGTCTTAGCTTTACTGTCCCATTAGTTCTATCTACCAACCCTGCACTTTGTGGGTGATATGAACAATGGTGTTTTAGTGTTATCCCTAGATGCTGTGCCATTAACCCAATCACTTCATTTACAAAGTGTGGGCCATTATCACTATAAATGGTCTCTGGAATCCCGTGTTCCGGGATGATATTCGTACATATTGCTTTGGCAACCAAAATAGCATCTGCTTTCCTAGTTGGGAAAAATTCTACCCTCTTTGAAAAAGGGCACACTATCACTAGACAGTACTTATAGTTATTACAGTTGGACAGTTCTATAAAGTCCATGTGAATAACTTGAAATGGGTGAATGGGTCTGGGGAATGCATTAAATCCTAGAGTATGAAAATGTTGCTCTACTGCTTCCATCATCCCCCCTGTTGAGACATGGCACGGCCCATGGCTCAAAATCGCAGCAGTCTTATAAATTCTCAGGCAGTATTATCACATAGATAATAAACATCATCTTGCAAGCTTGCACTTTTTGTGAACCACAACTGTTTTTCCTGCCGTATGTAAGTGGGCCTGCATGTCTGCCAATACATCTCGTGTAATAAGAATGTCTGCTGGTGCTGCACTGCTAAAATGTGAACACCATGTGCTCCTAAAGCTGTCTCTTTTGCAATCTTATCTGCTAAGGCATTCCCTAATGTGACTGGATCTTTCCCTCGGGTATGTGCTGCACATTTACAAACAGCAGTTCTACTGGGCAATAATACTGCGTCCAGCAGATTTTGCAGGAGTTTGGCGTGTTCTACAGGTTTCCCTGTCGAGGTTGTCATACCTCGTCTTGCCCACTGTGCTGCAAAGAAATGTAATGTAGCAAATGCATATTGGCTATCAGTGTATATTGTCACATTTTATTTCTCTGTAGCTTTACACGCTTCCGTTAAAGCTGCTATTTCTGCTGCTTGAGCAGATATGAAACATGCTAATTGTCCTGCACAGATAGCTTTCTCACTATCTACTACAGCAAAACCTGTTTTAGCCTGTCCCTCTGCTGTTTTAAAGCTCAAACCATCAACAAACCAAACCTTTCCCTCACCAAGTGGCACATCTTTTACGTCATCCCTTGGCTTACACTCCGTCTCCACGTGCTCTCTATACTCATGAGGAGTGCCCTCTTCCTTCGTTGGCAAAAGGGTTGACAGATTCAGAGTTGTGCACCGCTTTATGGTTATGTGTGGTTGTGAGAGTAACAGTGACATTAAAAACAAGTATCTTGTGGGTGACAGAAACGTCATTTTAGTCTGCAGTAGTAAAACGTCTACCTTGTGTGAAACTAGCAGTGTCAAAAATGGTAAAATAAATGGCCTGTATTTATTTAGCGCTTTACTAGTCCCTAAGGACCCCAAAGCGCTTTACATATCCAGTCATTCACCCATTCACACACACATTCACACACTGGTGATGGCAGCTATATTGTAGCCACAGCCATCCTGGGTGTCAAAGGGTGAAATATAACTATTTCCCGGAACATTGTACAGCTTGAGCCGCTGCACATACTGATCTCACACACGGAGGCAAAGCACAAGCAACTAGATCTAATCTTTTAGAATAGTAAGTTACTGGCTTCATTTTTGGGAGAAGTGCTGTTAGTTATTCCACCGTCACCTGGCATTCGTGCTATTCACAGAACCACAAGTCCATCGCTGAACTTCTTCCTGTCCGTCGGATGGAGCTTGGCACGCTCCCTTCAACCTTAAGGTTCTCATGTTCCAATGGAGTAGCTCCACTCCAAACCTGTAACCCTGTGTCAAAACATTAGTCAGTGATTAAATGTTAAGCTTATTTAAGTCCCAGCTCCACCCGGAGCCTGTATCCTAGAAGACAAAGTCTTTAAGTTAAAACAACTTCACATTTGCAACCAACTGTAGCTCATAAGTGTAATAAAGTATTCAGCATCACAGAGACAAGTACCATTGCAGGGTTATTCTAAACTCATTAAACCCCTACTTTTTCCATAATTTGCTCCAAATCATTGAACATCTCAACTTCATTCCACATTGTAATCAGTGGCTTTCCTTAAATTTGTTACTCACCATGAGCTCAATAGTGATCAGCCCCATGTAACTATTCTGTAACCACTGCACATCTGTTCAATTGTCACTTGTCTGTCTGTGTTGAATCCTATACAAACACTCTTAAAGGAAAGAGCATTAGCCAAACACACGGATCATCCTGGTGGTCAGGTGTCGGTCACCCAGTAAATCATACCAAACCTAATTGGCAGGCTCAACTTTGTAACAAAAGACAAATCATCAGCCAGTTTAATCTCAAACATTCATCCAATCAGCCACACCACACACAACATACAGCATAACCCTGTTGTCTCATCACATAATAAGTTTCTTCTCATGTAACCAAATGTGTGCCATGTTAAAACTTCTTCACACATCAGAAACTCAACAATCAGCTCACTCAGCTCACTCATTCAAGACCCCTCATCAGCATTCTGTTTTCTCCTCTATGATGCAATCATCTGTCCTCCTATAATATTAGACACTAGTCTATGTATCACTTTCATCTTACTAGTGACTTGGACAAGATGACAAACAGAATCTCATGCTTAGATGCTGTCTGGTCTTCATGAGTGTCATTGTATGTGTATATGCACGTAGGGCTAGTATGGTTAAGACATTTTCTGTTTGTGTGGGTTTTTATGTACCTCTCTCATCAAGTTTTCATTATTCTCATCACCGCATAAACAACACACATCTCTCTCTCTGTTTTTGAACTCTCCTTTCTTAAAAACAGAAAGTGGGATTGCAGTTTTTTCAGGCTGAGAAACACCAAACACTCTTCATTTATCATTCATATTTCATCAACACAACTATTTTATTTCTTTTGTGTCCACTGGGTTAGAAAGTGACCTGCAGAATCATCTCTTCCCCAGTTCGAGACCACTTCACTCACATACTTTCACACCTCTCTGTGGCTCACACACACCATGACATCAAACACAATTGCGTGCCTTTCGCCAAAACAAAAAACGTGATACTGATGTTACAAAGGTCTCACACACATGAATCAGGATGCAGAAAAGCTGTTGCCCATCTGAGGTGTGAGGAAGAAACTGAACTCACGGATAGCTGCATACTCGAGTTATCATAGCTCTGTTTCCCTCCCTCTAATGCGTTCTCAACAAGCTCCTGCTCTGAAAATGTGTAGCTTGCTCATCAGCTTAAAAGTGACTGCATACAAAACAACAATCAGACTCACTCAAACAGACCACGTCTGGCCCGCACACACAAAATAGACACCAACAAGAGCTCTGACCTCCTTACAGTTGGTGGAGAAACCAGCACTCAACGCCCTCAGCGGTTGAGAAAAACCTTCCTTTCGATGGGAAACCTGCTTAACCCTCCTTAAAAAAAAAAAAAAACACTAGTGCCATCCAACCCGAGGAGAGTTCAGACACAAACTCTCCAGCCTGGCGATAAAGTTAAGCACCAGGGCTTTCATCAGGCATCCCAGATGCTGGCTGCTAGCAGACTTCGGCAGCGTCATCTCCCTCCTCCTCGGTGGACGCAATGTGTTGGGATCTGGCTCAAAGGACCAAATAAATGTTGAGTCTGCGCTTCCATAGATCCCACTAGTTTAGAGACTTATTCCTCATGAAGAACAAAAACAAGACAGAACATCTTCAACCGGTCTTTTACTCGCTAGCAAGGGAAGGCTGATCGGAACCAGGCTGTGGAGCTTAACGCTCCTCACCTGTCACCAGCCCAGCTCCTTCAAAGAGCAGCCCTCCTCGTAGTGTGTGTGTGTGCATGCATGTGAGAATGTGTGTGTGTGTGTATGCGTGTTCTCCTGCTCCCCAAAAGGATCATAAAAGCAGGAAGCTTACAACACAAGAAACAGATCTTTCAGATAGGATGTATCTACAATAAAACCTCCCCCAGCACCAGTGGCTGGAGAGGTGGTCAGAGACAAAGGAATGTCTTTGATCACACAGTTTGAAACAATGTAGAGATGGTAAGCATAAAAATGACAACATTTAACAATTCACTTTAACATACACCATCACCACTTTTCACCGCTAATGACATAATTGTCATCCACAGTGTAGAGTGTTTTCAGCAAACAGCAGAGAGGTACTGCTTAAAAATGTCTGGCGAACATAGTTCATATCATAAGTAAAATTTACTCAGGGCCAGATGAAGACCAGAAACAGAGCTAAAAGACATTTATCACATGGGATTAAATACAGCTTCAGATGAATTCTCCTTTTTTTACTTCAGATACTTTGTAGCCAAAGTCTGTATAAAGACCAAAAACAAGTGCTGACTGTGATCCAAACAAAAATGAATCTTTGGTGTGCAACATTTACATCTATATGGCCTTAATAAGGGAGATATTTACCTTTGTATTCTGCTTTTTCGCATATACCCAACTAGGGTTGGATAAGCACGCTAACATATTTGGTTGGTGGCCAACAGCGTATTTTTAAAACATAGTACAGATTGTAAAAAAAGAAAAATCAGCTTTACTGTCATTATTTGAATTTTTAGGTACATGGCTCCACAACTCGAGAGATTAATCTGTGGTTTGGCCTGAGGGGGATGATCCAGGAGGGAGGTGTGCTTTCACTCTGGAGGGGAAATGGTATCAACGTCCTGAAAATTGCCCCTGAATCCGCCATTAAGTTTATGGCCTACGAACAGGTCAGTGGACAAACAGTGAGAAAGTGGAACTATGTCTTCTGTTCTCTTAAGTGTTTACTTAACTCGTGGTAGAAAAAGTAGTAACTGTATATTAGTTTACAGTGGGGGAAAAAACAATAGTCCACTCTACTGTGTCCTTCTGAAATCTTTTATTGCTTGTGGTTTCCCCTCCTCCTGCTCCTCACTCTTCCTACTCCAGATCAAGTGGCTGATCCGAGGTAATAAAGAGGGGGGCAGTTTAAGGGTACAAGAGAGGTTCATTGCTGGGTCGCTTGCAGGAGCTACTGCCCAGACTATCATCTATCCCATGGAGGTGAGTTTAAAATTTGTGTCAGTCATTTCCTCTTGAAGATATGTTTCTTATAGATAGATAGATAGATAGATAGATAGATAGATAGATAGATAGATAGATAGATAGATAGATAGATAGATAGATAGATAGATAGATAGATAGATAGATGGATGGATGGATGGATGGATGGATGGATGGATAGATAGATGTTCAATGATCCAAACATGAGCTCAGTAATGAGTAGCTCCACTATTATTGTTGATCACTTCAAAAATTCGTTGCGGCATGCTTGATGGAAGCTTTTCATGAGGTGAGTGGGAACATTTCTTCAAGTGGTAAAGACGGCCATCTGAAAGGAATCTACTGTCTGGATCTGTTGTCCATTTTTGTAAACTTCCCTTGCCATCCATCCCCAAAGGTTCTCAGTTGGATTTAGATCAGGGGAACACGCAGGATGGTCCAAAGAGTGATGTTATTCTTCTGGAAGAAGTCCCTTGTCCTGCGGGCATTGTGTACTGTAGCATTGTAGCACCCAGACCATTATGGCGCCCCCTCCACTGTGGAGCGTGGAGAACATCTCAGGTGGGATCTGCTTGTTAAGCCGGTAACATTGGAAACCATCAGGACCATCAAGGTTACATTTTTTCTCATCACAGAATAAAGCCTTCTTCCCCCACCCCACCCGACACACAGTCACACACACCAAACATATTAAAGATTGTAACTTAACATATTTTATTGTGAAAACTGTTGTTGAATTTTACATTGAGAATAGCAGACAAATCAACAATACAGCTCTTCCAGTAATGGCTAATTAATATTGTACTGAACACAGTCCAAAAGATTGAGTAAACCACATCAGTGTCTACTGTCTCTTTACTATCATAGCCAAGTGGCTAACAAAGGCAACCAGAAGTTTTCCCAATACCTACTAATGAATGTTATCTTGTTTCAGGATACATAATACCTGCCATTATCCAAAGACACATCTGCTTACCCGTGTCTTTTGTTTGTTCCTCCTCTTCTTTTCTCTTTTTTTCTAAACTGAGGACCTGATGGCTCTGACCTTTTCTTGTCAATCTTCCATCAGTAATTTTGCACTCCAGTATCAACAACCAAACCCCACAACATACACTAATAGACACCTTATGCACAGATTCAGGTTCTATAGGTTGTTTTTTTTGGGATTTCACACAACCCAGGAAAAATAATTCATACATAGTGGGCTTGGATTGACAATATTACGAATGATTATTATTTATTTTTTTTAAATATTTATTTATTTTTATTTTGTGAGCTTGTTATTAGATGCTGCTCCAGCCAGCCAGAGAATCACTTGCTGTCCTACCCCTCGCCTCCATTTACGAGGTGCCCTTACTCCTCGCAAATGGGCAATAGAAAACCATTCGGTGCCTATGCAATCCTCAAAATTTGCTGGCATGATGTCGGGGCAGTGTGAGTGCGAGCAACTTTTTTTTCCCCCAATGCCATGATGCAGCCCCCACCACAATGCTGCCCTGGGCAGCTGCCCATGTTGCCCATATCTAAAACCGCCTCTGGTCCCATGTTTGGTGCTCTGTTACAAAGTCCAAAGGGTCAGTTCTGTGGGTATTTAAGGAGGCCTTTGAAGATGTTTTTTGTTTTTGAAGCCCTTCAGTCTCAGATTCCTGATGTACTATCAAGTGCTATCAACATTAATGTTTCCTTTGAGCTTCAGTTTAGTCACAGGAGAGTTTCATACGATCCTCTGGCTTAGGGATAGGCATGAAGCCTCTTTCAGGGTCAATTAAAGGTTGTAGTCCATCCAAATTTGACAGTTTAGGGCATTACATGAATTTGGAGTAATGGTGCTGCAGGGGCACATGTGTGGGCTTACTCAGTTTATTTCCATTTTTAATATACCAAAAATCGTTCAAACTTTTTCTTTAATCTGTTCTCCCAAATTCTTAAACATCTTAACATCAAGCTTAACAGGGCTTCAACCTATCATGCTCAAAGTCAGGGGAGCTTCGGGGTGTTTCCATCAAACACGGAACTTCCACTTAATGCAATCAAATGGGGGAGACTGCGAGGAGGGTTTGCCATGGTTGATCCTGGCTAATGGAGAGAGCACACATTTAGCCCTTATAAATTATTGTTTGGACATAAGGAGTCAAACCCTCTTAAAGGTGGTAGCGGTGGCTAGCTCTGTATTTTGTTTGCAGCTGGGGAGGCATGGCATAGGAAATCTGGCTTCTGCTCAGAGTAAGAAGAAAAATGTTTGGTAAAAGACGTTTCACCTCTTATTTAAGAGGCTTCTTTAGTTAAACTGAAGAAATGCTACCGTAAAGTACAACTGTATCAGTGGAAGAATTAGAAAATAGGTGTTTAAAGAAACCATAGACCAGTTCTACCTTCTTTGACTCATTGAAGAAGAACCTCTTGCTACTGTTTCTACTTACTCCTGTGTTAATTTTGGATTTGTATGCGTTTTTTTCTTCTATTCCCTATGCTGGATAGGTGCTGAAAACTCGCCTTACATTAAGGAAGACCGGACAGTACTCAGGTATGGCTGACTGTGCCAGACAGATTCTGAAGACTGAGGGTATCCGAGCATTCTACAGAGGATACCTGCCCAATACAATGGGCATCATTCCATATGCTGGCATTGACTTGGCTGTGTATGAGGTATGTACTGCTTTCTGTACACTCTCTGTGTATAAAGAGTTACTTCAGATCAGAAGCATTAGCATGTTTGTTCCTTTCATGGGCCAGCTGAGTCTCGCCATGTGTGGTTATGGCACCGCCTCTGGGCAGATTCCTCATCAGCTCACCGCACCTGTTCGTGATTTGAAGCAATCAGCCAGTGGTATTTAAAGCCAGCATTGTCAGCTGTCCTTACCCGGTTCTTCTGCTAACCTCTGTTAGTACAGGCCACCTCAGTTGTCTATGTTTTGCTGTTTCCATGCATTGCTAACCTGTGTTCTCCTTCTGCTCCTAATATTTTCCATTTGATCTCTCATACTCACCACTTGCATTTGGATTCCACACCTGAACACTGTACTCCCACTCACGCATAATGTAGATATAACAGGTGGTCATTTGAGTTATTGTTGTCTTCTGATCTACTCATTCTTGTTTGACTTCTGGCAGACAGATTGTATTTTTGCCCAGAGAAGTAACACTTACTCACTTTACTTCTCTGTAAACCGTAGAGATTGTTTGCGCAGAAAACTCCCAGTAGATTGTAAAGAAACCCACCCCATACCATCTTGCACTAACAACCATGCCACATTCAGTACTTAATTCCCCATTCTGCCCCATCCTGAATTTCAACAGGTCATCTTGACCATGTGTTCCTGACATATTTGGCTGATTACATATTTGCATTATTGAGCAGCTAAACAGACTATCTAACAAAGTGGTTGTCAGTGTATGCATTTCAGTTCATTTCTTTCCCCTTCCTTTTTCTCTTCCTCTTTCTTTTAACTTTTAACTGCTCTCCTTTATTAGTGTCTTAACATTTTTCACTGTTCATGCTTTAAGACCCTGAAGAATGCCTGGCTCCAGAGGTACTGTGTCAACTCAGCAGACCCAGGAGTTTTGGTCCTGCTGGGCTGTGGTACTGTCTCCAGCACCTGTGGCCAGCTAGCGTCATATCCCCTCGCTCTCATCCGGACTCGCATGCAGGCACAGGGTGCGATATGATGTAAATGATAGATTGTAGGCAGTTGTAGGCCTACAAAACATTGGAACAATTTAGCAATAAGTCTGTCCATATATTACTCTCTGTAGCTTACATTGTTCTCATTTTTACTTTCAGCCATTACTGAGGGTAAACCCAAGCTGACCATGGTGGGTCAGTTCAAATACATCATATCTCATGAAGGTGTGCCAGGTCTGTACCGAGGCATCACGCCCAACTTCCTCAAAGTTATTCCTGCTGTGAGCATCTCCTATGTGGTCTACGAGCACATGAAGAAGGTCCTTGGAGTGGTTTACTAGACTGATGCGACAAACACAACTGTGGAGGCAGAAACACATTTTGCTTGTTAGAAGAAGCAGAAGTGGAGAATTAAGCTTCTCGGGCCTCTGAAGAGAGAAGATGAAGGATCAGTGCACCGATGCCATAAAACATTTGTGGACACCATCAACTTCCAACCTTTTTAAAGTGCAGGTACTAGGTCAGCAGGATAAATTTATTGATCTAGGAGAGGAGAATGAGGCTAATGATGCCCACTCTAACAGTATTATGTTATGCTTGAGGAATCATCAAAAAGTTCTTAGGAATGAAAATTCTTACCCTATTCTCCTAACCCTTATCCAGATGGACTCACTTGCGGCTGCTATTTTTTGTGTTCTCCTTCTCCATCCATTGTCTCAGCACATTCCAGTAGAACTCCACGTTTACATTGTCATAAATTTATAGTGCACAGTACATGTCACAAAAAAGGACAAGGATTCTCCTGATCTTGTTTCTCACTTTTTTCCATGGCCCTTTTTCCAGAATGTTTGGATAACGTCTCACACAAGCAAGAGTTTTTTTGTTTCTTTTTGTCCTGTAAGCAACATTTTGGGTTGGTTTAAAGGTATCAATATGTAGTATATCAATATCTGATAATGATTTAGGAAAGGTCACAAAATACTGCAAAATACATGAGATTCCAACAGCGGGTTATCAGATTCCAAAAAGGAGGACTTCTCATAATTTTGTCGAAACAAACATGAGGTAAACAGCTGGGTTTGCTTGTTCAAGTTATAAAATAATGTAGAAGCAGTGTGTGCATGTGAGCTGCAGCATGACTTAGCTGTGCATTGCTGTAAACCTTTGAAACCTTTAACTGTTTTGCTGCTAGCTGTTGCTGGAAACTACATTGAAATAAATGGAGAAGATGGATTTCTTGCATGTAGTGAAAATGTGGATGTGAACACAAAACTTGGTTTGATATGAAGAGTTTATGCTCCATTTTTTTTTCAACAGTGTTCCTTCCTGCAAGTTTCCAAAAGGAACAGGATGAGAAAAAAAATCTTAGCTTAAACAAACCTAGCTGTAATCTTAAAAGGACTATAGGCCATCTCCTGACCTATGACAGACGGGATATGCTTCAAAATAGAAAACCTATGAAATGTCTGAACTTAGGAAATGTACCATTTTAAGAAAATATTAGCTTATTTTAAATTTAATATAAGCAACACATCTCAAAAGGTTTGGGTGGGGACAACGAAAGGCTGAAAATGTAAGTGGTACTAAAAAGTAATAGCTTGACAAACTAGCCACAGGTCTGCAACATGACTTTTAAAAAATATAAAATATAAATAATATAAAAAAAAGCAATGTTGGGAAGAGGTTCACCAGTCTGCAAAAACACTATGACTACAAATTGATGATTTCATGGAAACCTTTTGTTGCAGGACATAAAATGACTTGAAATATCTTGTCATCTACAGTACATAATAACATCAGAAGAGTCCAGAAATCTCTGTATACAAGGAACAAGACCAAAAATCTATATTGAATGCTTGTGATATTCAGGCCTATAAAAACCAAACAAAAACTGATTCTGTAATGGAAAACTGATAGGGGTTCGGGAGTGCTTTCAGAAATGATTGTCTGTGAAGACCGTCAGTTGTGCAGATTAAAATGTTGTCATATAAAGAAGCCCCCATATATGAGCATCATCTTCTGGACCAAATTCATTTAAAATGGACTAAATAGACTGAAAAACCAGAAAACCATTCTGTAGTCAGACAAATCAAAATCTGAAATTCTTTGTGAAAAACATGGAGAATGCATCCTCCAGACCAAAGAGGAGATGGATCATACAGATTGTTATCAGCACACATGTCAAAAGCATGCATGTCTGATAGCATGGAGGTACACTCAACAAAAGTATAAACGCAACACCTTTGTTACTGCTCCCATTCCCCATGGGATGGACGTAGAGACCTAAAATTCATTCCAGATACACAATATAACCATCCCTCCCAAACAGTGGTCACAAATCAGTCCAAATGTGTGGTAGTGGCAAATCTGCTATATTGAGATAATCCATCCCACCTCACAGGTGTGCCACATCAGGATGCTGATCTGACATCATGAGTAGTGCACAGGTGTACCTCAGACTGCTCACAACAAAAGGCCACCCTGGAATGTGCAGTTTTGTCTCACAGCAAAATGCCACAGATGCCACAAGCAATGAGGGAGCGTGCAA